CCCTTTCACAAAGTGCCATTCAAAGGCACTTTGTGCCTTTGAATGTATACATATAATACACTCAGTAAGTGTATATTATCAACAGATAATATACACTTACTGAGAAGTATTGTGACGTTGGGAGTGACTAGGGATAGAGTGAGTCTGCTACAATACTTGTACTCAGCTAGGATAGAAGAAATAGCAATATCAAAATAAAAAGAGAACGTCTTCTTCCCCTTATCGTTTAGTTGAGTTGACCAGGAAGGAATAGCCTGCTTGGAAGGCACACATGGCATCGTCTAGTTGTGATCGAATTGGTGTTTTAAAAAAACAAAACAAAGAAAAATTATCGCTTGCAGTCTTTCATATGATTGGGAGGATCCCCAATACTGCAGCCTATTGCAATGCTCACAAAAAAAATGTTTACTTTTTTTATCAAATAATTTCTAACCTCACGCACAGTCTTGGGTAGTAGCGCGGTACTTGGATCGCGATACTTTAACTCCTTACCTTTTTGCTAAATTTAACTGCTATTCGATACATTTTTTGAAGTAGCTGTATCGATAACTTAAATACATTTTGAAAAAGTAATACTTTTCGCAAAAAAAAAACGATCCTATTTTGCTACCACTACAGCGGAATTGAACATGTGCGGAGCATTAGAAGAGACAGATTAAAGCAATAACTCAAAAATGCTTTCTCGAAGCCAAGTGGTGGAGCAGAGGGAAGAGGTTTTTCGAATTTTTTCTTTTTCATGAGGCAGAAAAACGCATTTAGCATTTGCTTCATTCCTTTGTGTGGTTGTCTTGCTTCAGCCTTTCCTCATTGAACAAATGGAAGAGGCAAGCGACTGAGACACCTTGCAGAGACACCTAATAGTGAACTGTTGAAAGGCTGACTTTGCGCTTTCCACTTTTGTCCCCTTTCCTATATCCACTTATCACCTTGCCCCAACTTGACTCCCCCCTCGCAGTTTAGAAGAGGACAATCTTCCGTGCAGAAAGCCGACGCTGTACGTCGGCCTTTAAGAGAGAGAGAGAGAGAGAGAGAGAGAAAGAGAACGTCGCAACAAGGAAAGAAAATAGTTGGATGATAATTAACAGTTATCGCTCAAACGAAAGGCTGTCATGAGCGACGAACGGCAGGTGATACCATGGCCCGGCTATGAACTGCACTTTGACCTTGTCGAACATAGTGGCAAGAATTTCACTGCTCGCTGCAAACACTGCAAAAAAGTATACGCATCCGGGTGTTCCTCTTCCTAGCTCCAACCTTCGCAAGCACCTCGGGGCGAGTTTCAACTTGCATTTCTGGACACTACCGCTAGGCATGGAGACGGAACGATGGAAGGCTGAAACTCAGCGCTGCCTCAACGACTTTCGCACTATGGAGACTATTTTAAGCGAGAATACTGAACTCCACTTTAACGCACCCGCTTTATTAGCGAAAAAAGGGATGTGCATCATAAGGAAAAATTTTAGCGATGATTCTTCTTAAAGCAGCTGTTGCTGCGTTACATGAACTAAATAATTTATTACTTTCTCCATTTTGTATCGAACCGGCAAACACTCGATTCAACAAAAACGTGCAACGGTAAAATTATATTTCTCAAAAAGTGAATTGAGAGTTTTCTGAGAGTTCCAAATAAATATAAATCGTAGCCATTGTCTGCTGTCATCAATGTCTTTACTGTTAAATATAAAACAAAATAAAAAATTAAAGCCTCTTAAAAGTAACAAAGTTACCATGAGGAAGTAACTGTATCTGCAACACGTTACTTTTAGTTTTGAGTAACTGCCTGTTTTTTAGTAACTTTTATTTTTAAGTAACTGCCAAAAAATAAATAAATTTTTGACAAACTATTTGTAACTGTCACTAATTACTTTTAAAAGTAACTTACCCAAGACTGCCTGAGCATTTGTCTATAACAATGGCCCTAGCAACGGCTTCTTTGGAGCGGTTCAACATGTTGTGACTTCATCATTTACGCGGTCGATTCCTCTCTCTCCGTCCGAGTATTTCCCACTAAATTTAGCCGGGAAACTGAATTGGTTCATAAGTCACGTGATGGCACTGATGTCACGTGATTTGAAATTAAGCCCCCCCACCAAAGCACAGTGAAATCTGATGTTATATGACCTATACATCAATTCAATTTCCCGGCTAAATTTAGCACCGAAGTCGACGTCATGTGACCAAAGCAGCAATTCAGCTTGCCTACTAAATTCTGCGGGGGCATTAATTTCACGTGACGTGACATCACGAGTCCTATACATCAACAGTGATTTTTTTGTTCAATTTAGCGCGAAAATTTACGTCACGTGACCTGACTCCTTAACTTGTGCACCAATTCCCTTTCCACTCAAATTTAGCGGGAGAATTTACGTCAATGGATCTGGCCACGTTACCTATGCACCAATTTCGCTTGACGTTTAAATTTGGTGGGGAAACTGATATTTCGTAACCTGCTGCTCAGAAACCCATTTAACAAATCAGTTTTCAAAAATAATATCGTGTGACCTGAGGTAATGTGACTTATTCACTTATTCAGTTTCCACGCGACTAGAAAATATCAAGCCTACATTTTATACTGTAAAGGTATTTAGATGTCATGCACGCCGACGATAAATTTAAAAGCATATTTTCCGAATAACCCTTTCCCACTTTCCGCAAGCATCAAAGCCTTGGGGGCAAACTATGTCAATCTTATACAAAAAGTCCCGATTCACCCGGTGGCTACGGTCCTTGTCGGAGTGCCCCATACCAGCTTTGCCCTTTCGTGTGACCGCTCATCGTATTTCGAGGTGCGCAACAGCTTTCTTCAATAATATTACCTGCCAATCTCCTGCCGTGATATATATGATTAATGGCACGCTTTGCAACGTGAGATATATGGAGGAAACTAAAAATTCCAAGATAACGCGCTTCAATGGCCACAATTCAGACATTGTAAAAAAGCAAAATACACCAGTTGCATAACACTTCTACTGTCCCGTATACCATAATATCAATACGTATCTAAAATTTACCCCCGTGAAACGTAATTCTAAATATGAATTCACACGTAAAAGTAGAGAGTCACGTTAATTATCAAAATTTAGTTTGTTAGCTCCACTTGGCATTGAAATCTAAAAAAAAGAAAACTCCACAGGCTGTTGCAGGCTTCAGGTTGGTTTAGGCAAAACACTATCACATCCCGTAATTCCGAAGAAAAAAAGGGAAACAGCATTTTGTTAGCTGGTCAATATCTGCCTACCAGTCCGATATTCCACCAGTGCGCGATCTGTCTCCTCGCTGCTAGAGGCGGCGTGTCCAGTTACACTGCGAAGATGGTTTGCGGCTTCCCGCGTCGTCTCCTCGCCTCCGTCACTCGCCGTTCACTTCACAAATGTGTTGTTATTGTTTTTACCGCTGATGCGCGTAGTTTTGATTATATACATGTTATTCCAGTTTTTAGAGCGGGCTTGGGGATATGGGGAAATCGCCCTTTACTTTTTTTTTTTGCTTTCGCAGGATACTGCTTGACAATGACTTCTTTGGTTTATTTTGTTTTTTTTTTTTTTTTAATTTTTGTTTCGTATCTGCATGACAGTAAGCCGACGCCCCCTAACGGGCCGAACGTTCTCGAGTTTAACGCCTCGACCAGGCCGCGATTTGTCTCCTCGCCGCACCACGCGGCGTGTGCAGTTAAGCCAAGAAGGTGGTTTACGGCCTTCTGCGTCTCTTCGTCTCCGGCGATCGTTGTTAACTTCACTAATGGTAATGGTTTTCCTTTGGTGACCCACCTCGCTTGGATTAAATACTTGTTATTTTCGTTTTTAAAGTGAGCGTGGAAATAAAGGGAACGCAGCCTTTTACTATATATATTTTTTTCGTTCCCTGGAGAATGCCATGACCGGCTGTTGTATATTGGTGTGTTTTTCTTTTTTGCTATAGCATGTCTGAGTGTTGTTGGAAACATGGCCACCTGTCTGTGAGTGTTTTTGAGGTCGAATTGTGTATTTTTATTATTTCCTCTTTCTCTCTGTCAAGCTCGGACCAAAACATCCTGCAATCTGTATTTCTCTAAACTAGAGAAAGAAAAGCCTCTGCTCGAAACGTGCAAAATGAAGCCTCTGCTGTTGCTCACAATTTTGTTCTATGTCCTGACAACTAGTTGGGGACACCCGAGCGACTTGAAAATGCGGTCTCCCGAAACCGCAACAAATACGGCCTTTTAGATTAACTCTGCAGTTAAGGCCTCACATACATGAAACCTATATTGACGGTCTTTGCATCCGCCCTAACGTACCCAGGTATGCCCCTAGATATAGCCAGGTTTAATACATCTGGTGATATAACCAGGAGCGTCGGGAAATAAGAGCGCACACATGTCTTAGAGTTAAATAACTCACGTTTGCGTTATGGGTTACACAATAAGAAGACTACTGACCCCTTTTCAATGAATGTGATGCTTTTGAATGTGAAACCCTTCAGAACTTAACGGTCGATTTAATTGTTCACGTAAGTCACACAGAAAGACAAAAACTCCTTAAAATCGCAGTATATCTAAGTGTAAAGAAAGTTTTAATTGTGAGGTACCATTATAGCCACAAGTTTGAACCTATCACAGAAACCAAGAGGACGTTTACCGAATTTGAAACAAATTGACCAAAACAATATTATCTTAATTCGATTGGACGAAAAACCAAAATGGTGACATGTACGATAACAACATCGCGATGTGCATCGCTTTTAAGTTGAGTTTAAGTGCAGTTACTAGTAAGTATGCCTGATCATCCACTTGCCATTTTTAGTAAGAAACATGTAGCAGGTATGGCGAAAGTGACAACTAAAACTTACACAAACGTCACTTGAAAAACTTCAAATCAAACTATTTATTCGACCCATCCCAATAAATGTACATATGTATACAAATGCAGTTAGAATTGCAGTCACTGAAAGCTTAACAATGCATGGCTTGCCTTATTATCTTCATATCATTTGAAGCGCTCTTCGGCTTTCGTATTGGTGCGACCTAATTGGCAGAGAAGCGACAATACTATAACCAAAATTCACTACGCCAAGCGTTTTCTTTTGTTTATAGCGACGTAGTCAAAGACAGCTGACGACACATTTTCTGCCGCGTGGTTAGTACAATACTAACCACACGACAAAATGTTTTTTTTTTCGATGAACGGTGGAACAGAGTCATTATTGTTGATGCTTTAGCTAATTAGTCATACATTAGCATCTAGGCGGCCTCTTTACAATCCAGAAGCCAGTCCACGTCATCCCAAAGACTTGGCACAGAAGTACCTTCCATTTCCTTGAAAAACTTTTTCTCCAGTCGCTCGGACTGTTCTTTCGAAAAGTAATTCCTCCAGTCTCCAATGACGCCTTTCCTCACGAACTGTACTCCCCAATCCTTCACCATCTCCGTCATACTCGTACTGTCAATTACAGCCGCCATTTTTGCTTCGTCTTCCGCAAGCTCCTTAGCGAGTTCGCCATCAATGAAACCAGCCATCTTTAGCACAGATCCCTTCATGTCAGCATGAATCGACTCGTACGTGAGAAACAGCACGTTAGGCTCGTCTTTCTTGGCGTACCAAGATAGAAGGTTTTCAAAGTAGCTGCCGGAGTCCGTGAGGCCCTCGATGAAAAGTTCGAAATACTCGTCAAAAGTTCCATCTTGAAAACAGTATTCTGTATGTCTTTTTGTGTGATGGTAAAAAGACACGCAACAGTCTTTAGGGTTCCTGGCCACGTATATATACTTGGTGAATGGCGAGAAAGGCGCCAAGTGAAAGGGCAGGTGAGTGAAAATGATTCGCGGTCTGTCGGCCCTTAGGGTGCCGTCCAGACCGTGCACCTCGAGAAAGCTCCATCCCGGTGTGACGCCCCTGCAGACTCGGAAGCACGCCTTGACAATTTCCAGCACCCAGTGAGTGCCGCACTTGGGGAAGGTAACCAGGATGATGTCGCTGTCCTCTGGTTGATAGCGAAGACCGCTCCGGTAGGCCTCTTCGGAGAAGAATCCCGGCAAGCGGAAGCCATCAATGATCTGGATGGCGGGTCGGTCTCTCTCCATCATTCTCTGGGACACAAAGCACACGTCGTTGATCTGTCAGTCTGAGACTCCTCTTAGTAGCGCAAGTTAGAGGCCTTCAAAAGGAACTCCTTTAAAAGATTGGCAAATCACCTTCCGACTTTGGCCCATCAGCCTGCGCTGGCTCGTGAGTATTTAAAGTGCCCCATTTACAGGGTTGTGAACCACCCTCTAGATTCATTGTCACCGAATAGAAATGGGAAGAGGGTAAATGGACAACCATGTCATGTTAAACGTTGAAGTCGCATTTGTGACCAATCGGTGAACCACGTTGGTCAGATAATGGTCAGCGCTATGGTTTCTGGGGAGTGCTAGTTTTAGGACATCAATCTGTTAAGGAGTAAATGCATGCGAAAAAACCCACAAAATCTCACGGATCTCAGAAATATTGGGGAAATAAGGTTCTAAAGCTAGCACTTCGTTTTTAGCACACAAAAACGAAATAGCATGCATTTTTTGTCAGAAAACAATTGGGGTGTGTGTATATTTATACAGCCGGAAGTTAGTCTGCCTCATCGGGCGACTTGTCTCTCGGCTATAGACGAGCCGAGAGACAAGTAATTTAGCCAGTCCGGTACAACTGCTAGACTGGGGTCTTTGACGTGTACCACGCAGTAGGGATAAACGACTGCATGCCGGTACGATGCTCGTCCACATCGGAACGGGCAGGGATGGGGATTGAATTCAGAATTCCTAGGTTCTGCAGCGCGAGCTTTCGCTCCACGTGCTCGAAGTTGGTGTGCCCTAGCCCATGGCATACATACTTTTAATGGAACCATGCGCGCAATTTGCAAGCAGTAAATCGGCTCATTTTAATTTTAATGGTCTGGAATCATTTTTGCATGTTCCGAATTTTGAGCTCTTTTCGCCCGATTTTAGGCAGTGTCATACACGAGAAGATAGAAAGAAGAAAATTTTCCCTTGATTCTTCGTTCAGTCTGAGAAAAAAAAAATTCCTTCTTTCTGTGGGGAGTAGTTCAGAGACGCGCTCCTGTGGGGACAGGAGGAGAGAAGAGGGACAGAGGGAACGTGGGGATGGACACGGAGAACAACTTCTTTTCCCGGCAGAGTATGATTTTGTAGGTATAATTTAAACCACACGCTTAACCCCCCCCCCCCCCCCAAAAAAAAAAAAAAAAAATTATTATGTTTTTTTTGACTAGTGCACCTTCGCTCTTTGACTTTTTCTAACCAAATTCCGTAGCATGCAAATTTGATAGTCCAAGATTGTTTTTATGTGGGGTGCGATCCGTCGGCCACTCTCTGTGCAAACAGCTGCACGGGCCGGCAACGAAAAGTCAAGTCTGTGCTATGTTACATTTTACCGAATTCAGTCACCCAACGGGAACAGAGATAGATCCGTGTGTCAAAAGCGCCCTTCAAAAAGGCTAAGCAATAACGACGGCACTACCGCGAATGCCGACTATATCAGGAGATGGAACTCGTTTAAGCTACTCTGTAAACAAATTCGTCATCGCGGCATTCATTGTCACGTAGGTTTGATGTACTTACGTGAGTTTTATTTTCTTGTTTGTCCATCATGCGCGGACACACGCAGTCTGTAGAATAGAATTTATATATAAAGACATGAATAAATAAATATTTAATTAATTAACAACTTCCAGGCCGCTGTAACACTGCTCATGCATCATACAATGGAAATTGCGGTCCCTGCAGACATGACGGAAGTAACGTCGGACACGCATTAAGAACACTCGAAGACTGCTTTACTTTATACATATCGATGCGTCAACATGACTGCAAGCAGTACTTGTATGGTCAATGTAACAGGCTCATCCTACGACAAAGAGACACGCCTCAAACAGTGTCTACACACTGTTTTTTGTTTTTTTTATATGTATTAGCAGTGTGAGCATCGCTGTACGCCAGCCCAAATGTACAAAAAAAGAGCGTTCAATGAGCAACTCGATTCGAGCCCGTCTACTCACCCAAGCGCGTGGGGAACTCCTTCAAAGCGGTCTGCAAGCTCCACCTGCGAGCGAGAGTCACGACTAATTGCTACATCTAACGACTACACACCCGACGAGTGTGGTGAAACAGTTTGACAGGAAGTCGGACCTGCGTCAACCATGCCAGCGGCCAGAACACACGACCCAGTTTCGGTATGTGCGGGCTTAGTCGAAACACAATGTGAGCACCGTGTTTTGAACAGCGCTGGGTGTTTGTTTATGAGGTTCTCTAAACCCCCTCGTACGTACTATGCTTAATGGTCACGTACATAGTTTGGGGCAGGTGATGTCACAGTGTCACAACACGGTGTCCCACGACGTCGCGTCACGTGACACAGAGTAGAGTGACGTCATAGCTTCGTCACATTTTGATTTTTAGTCTCACGCCATGGTGTCACGTCACGTTCATTGCGTCATATTGCATCATGTGGTCAGATGGTTAGTGCGACGTGGCGACGTTATGCTGATGAAGTGACGTGGTCACATATTGCTGATCGGGTCACGCGTCCATCGTGAGCTAAATTTGGCGGACAATACCTTGCCTGTCAAATTTAACATTTCTATAATGCATTCCGTAACTCTAAAATTAGCGGGACCTAATTCGCGCTTTCTTATGGGTGTCTGACGGTTTTTTGAAGCGATTCTCGTGATGCCTTGATACGCTTTGTAGGTACGGCGGAAATTGCACATTGGAAATGGACCACTTAAACAACAAACCGTGCTCACTGTGGCAGGTGCTGCTATTGGTTCAGAAAGGAGCTGGCGCGAGACAGCGTGCTGCGCGAGGCAGGGCCGGGCGGGAGCGATGGAGCCGGTCTGGCCCTTAGAAATGCCTGGAGCGGCCGACCCGCGAGGTTCCGACCAGGACCGGTGGGAGCGGCGAGCCCTGGTCATACCGGCCTAGGCCATGACAATCCCGGAGTTGTTCCGCAGCGAGTCTCGGGCAACATAGCCCGGAAGAGGTAGCCTACGCAGCGCTAGCGCGAGAAGGACGATCCGCGGGTCTGGGTACGGACTCTGACTGCGCGATCTGAATGGAGGGCGACAAGCATGATTGGCGGGCCCGGACTGCCGGATCTCGAGGAAGGGCAACCGGGAAGCACAATAAGCCTATTCGCTGTATTCTCGTACTGTCATGTCACTCATTGGCAGAGGAGCGAAGCACATCGATAGTGCGGCGATTATTGTAGAGCGCTCCCACATAAAAACGGCGCCCAACGTGGGGCCCCGTCAGAATGCCTCTGCTTCTGGTCGTACGCAGTGAGTCCCAGGGATTCGCTGAGCGAGTTGTTCACTAACGCTAACGATGCCCGTCGAGATAAAGTATGTTTTAGTTTTGGAGACTTGTCTCACGGCAGAGCTCAGCAGGTGTTTCCTCGAGTCGAGTAGCGAAAAAACTCGAAGGACGAGGCTGCGGATGCGCTCTATCCAATAACCCAGAATTGCAGTAGGAAGGAGGTGATGCAACCAGGAGTGTCGAGAAGTGTGAGTAAGATGAAAGAACGTCGTCTTCGGAGGCGGAGGAGAGGCACGGCATGCTCGCTGGAAAGCTGAATAACGGCTGGAAGGAAATGAAACAGCCAGTACTCGCTGCAGATTTAGGACGTTGCTCGAGGGGAACAAAGATTGTTGCTTGGGGTGAAGTGGTGAGCAAAAAAGACCATGTCGAGGCCCCGAGTGCAGATCGGTTTTTGTCTGCGTGTGTCGGAAAAATTGCGGGAATAGCAGTTGACACCGGGAACGCTAACAGGCAAGTTAATGAGCACTACGATTCACGTCTGCTGGTCCAAGACGGCTTGTTGTTCCGCATCATCCCAACGAACGACAAATGGCAAGAGGGACGACTCTCGCTTCAGGGGGGTGGTTCCTAAAAAGCTAGGAAGGTGACGTATCGGATGCTTTTTTGACTTCATTATGGCTGGTTGTGGCAGTCGCAGTAAGACATTTTATAAGTTATGTCACATCACGACCTCGCAGGGAATAAGGCGAAAGGCATTCTGGTGGGCTTGTAGCTCTAAAGCTTGCCTTGAGGCGCAAACAGTTCCAGCAGGCTATCTCTCTGAGCTGCCGCCCCCTCCGAGGCAAAATGAGTCCCTAGAGCCCGTATGCACGTGGACGGGACGGGACGATGACGCTTACATCGAGTCGCACAAGGTATGCGCAGCCGTTACGGAACGGGGTATGGCATTTCCCATCCCGCCACTGGCATTGGATCCCTTTGCTTCCGCAATAGTTTGACTGGGTTTACGCCATAGTCACCCAGTCATGAGAGAAACTCGTCCTCTGAGCAGGGCAGCTAGTGTTTTTTCCGCATCGCTTGCTCCAAGGTGAGAGGGACCCTAGAAGGTAAAGACGCGAGCGTCATGTTATACTTCTAGGCTTACTCGGCTTGATACAAACGAGGTGTCTGGCTGAGTTCACATCGCTAATTGCAAGGAATTCTACCGTCACGCTGCGAAGATGACTAATATGATGTTGCCGTAAAACACAAGAAGTCCCTTGTCTGTGGCGACCCAGAAGCGAGCTCCAGAATGAGGATTCTCCGAGTTAGCCGCACGGTACACACCTTTGTCGGCACGTATTTTCGCAGCATCATCTACTGCAAAAATGCTTGCCGACGAAGTCGCTGACGCCCACAGGCCGACGCTTCCATGGCCGCTGCCACAATCTGCGGCCGGGTGTTTCTTCATTGTGTATTGTTTTAGCACTTAGTTTTCCGCAGAATGGCTTCCTAGAAAAAAAAAATCCCATACGCGGACACCCAGAAAGTCTACGGGAATCATACACAGGCCCATTCGTTTCCCTAAGTGCTCAGGGTGATTGAAACAGGTTCGGCCTGGCAGACCACCAGTGTAGCCATCCATGGAGACGACGGCACCGGTGGTGACCGGCTGGCGGAACGCCGAAAAGTCGAAGTGGCTTGGTGGGCTCCGCGATCCCGACGAACGCGGCCAGTTCTATTTACGCTCGCGGCGACATCAACGAGGAAAGGGGAAAGTTCGTCCGCGTCGGTGAGACCAGCTTAGAACAGGCTCTCTGCTGCATCGTGGTGAACTGGACAGCGAGCGACGGACAAGGGGCTGTCGACATTGTCTTCCGCGGCTTTGCTGAAAAACACCAGGTGAACAATGTAAAAAAAAAAAAAAAAAAAAGACCTACACCGTAGGTCCCGCGATCAACTACGCCGCTTTCGGACGCTACAACATGGCCACCCCGGCAACACCAATAGAAGCCGCTTCTTCCAACACGTCAGAGGTACCCGACCGCAACGTTCACGTTTGTTCACGTTACACCGGCTGGCATGGAAGAAGTCCTCTTAGCGGCCCATGAGATCCCGAGTACCGGAAGCCCTTCGAAGATTGGGCCTTGATGGGGGGAGATTGTGGGAGACGAGGGTGGAAGACGACGGGGCCGAGGAGGCACGAGCTCACGCGGGAAAGACCGTGGTGCGCGAGGCTAGGTTGGGCAGGACCGATGGAGCCGGTTTGGCTGATCGCGATCCGGAGCGGTCCACCAGCGAGGTTTGCTGCCGGACCGACTGAACGGCGAGCCCTGGCCATACAGGCCTAGAGCCTGACAATCCCGGATTGGCAGGTATCGTCACCCGGGATTGTGGAAAAGTTCCACCAGGCGTCGATGCCCTAACTTGTGGTCGTGAGTACTAAGTATGATACGCAGTATACTCCCCATCTACTAGCTAATTGAGTGTCTCGTTTCTCTTCTTAATCGAATCTTTTTCCACAACAAGCATCTCGAAGGATTTTTGCTATCACCTGGGGGGATTGGTAGCCGAGAGGGCTAGCGCACACTAGCTCTCAGCACGTGGAGCGAAAGCTCGCGCTGCAGAAAATAGGGATCCTGGGTTCATTCCTGCCACTCCCCTACCCCTTTCCGTTTCAATCCTGATGACCATCATACTGGCGTGCATCACTACTGCAAGGAGCCCGTTAAAGATTCCCGGCTACGAGTCGTGCTACACTGGCTAAATTGCTCATCTACAGCGGGTAACAAGGTCGCCGTGTTTTGGCAGACTAAACTACTGTTGTATAAACAACTAACGACCCATTTGTTTTTTGCTATCACCTGCTTGTCAAATGCGTGAAATTTCATCGTCCAAAGACATGATGACAACATTTTCTGCGGACACGTACCAAAGAAAGTTAGAAGCTGGATTGCTTCATACATAGCTTCCAATACGCTCCGTGCGGGAACTATAGGGGGCGCTTTGAAATACGCGCATCGCGCCGCGGTTGGAGGAGCTGGCGTTCGACAGTGAGGCGCGTTCAGCAGCCTGCGGCGCCTTTCCACATGCGAAGCTGTGGCGGCGGAAGTGCGCACGTAGGGAACGTTTACTTTTTGAGCCGATACGTTGTGTGTGACATTGCATGAGTGCTGGGGCAGACCTAAAAAGGCCATCTAGCTGTTCTCCGCTTTATATATTGAGTTCGAGTCTTTAATATGCGCCATTTCTTAGTTGCGGTCGAAAAAGGGGCTGGAGCAATTTTCCGAAAAGGAAGATGTCCGCACCGTAACTGCTCTCAGTGGAAAATTTGGCTCGTCA